TTAATTTTTATTGGAAAATGCAGCAAGTACAATTGCTTTCGTTGAGTAGGAAAGTAGGTCTACCGATATGCAGTTTCTAATCGACGTTTTACCGTTAACCCAATTTCGAGAGAAGTCTCTCAGTGGCGTACGGATGCAATGAAACTGAGTTCATGGACCGAAAACACACAAGAAACATTACATTCACAGCAATTACAAATAACACATTTCATCTTCAATTCAAAAGTAAAAATGACATCATTGCACGAAAAACGTTAATGTGCTGAGATCAGCTTATATAATTGTCAATTGCTTTCAATAATTGTAATAATTAGATTCAATCCTTTATGTTGACTTTATTTGTAATTAGTTAAATTTAGTATTGAATAAACTAAACATTTGATCAATCTTTATAGATTAACAATTGTAGTGAATTCAACTATAATTAGTTTATTGAATATTAATCGTTTTTTATATAAACTTCCCATTAATCTATATAAAGTTAATTCCATAAAACAGATCAATTTAGACTATGATATAATTATAATAAATCTAGAGAAAGTAATTGTATTCACTATGAAATGTATTAATTCTGAATATTCTATAAATATTTTACTTTCTGTATATACTTGTATGTACCATGAATTATAAATGCCATTGATTAAATAATAGGAAATGTTGATTAAAGTAGGAAGAATTGATTTCTCCTAGTGTTATGTAATTTCATATGTTTCACAATTCATTAAAATCTATTGTTTTGAGCTATTTTTCTTACTGATGCCTAGACGTATTTTGCGCACGTCTTTGGATTGATATTGAAACAGTGTGCATCACTAATTATGAGACTCATTTTAAGTAGAATAATAACTTTAAACTCACATTTTAAATTGAATCATACTACAGATTGATTGAATCATACTTAACCTCGCTTAACGAACAAAGTAAATTGTAAGAAAAATGTTTATTTTTTAGATGATTTGTAGTTTTAAGCTAATTTGCATTTATTTGCTTGCTAATCCAAGTATTAAATAATGTATTTATTAATTGGATAAATGTCTGTAATGCTTCTAATCCATTAAGGCCAATGACAGCTGTCAATGCCTCATAGTGTCAGTAAAAGAAGACATTTGTTAAAAACTATTTACATTTGTAGAAGTTAGAAGATTTCATCGAATAATGTTAATATATTAATTACATACTATATTATTAATTCTAATGCAAAAAAATTGAGGAATTCTATTATGAAATTGTTCATATTATTACTAAATTGATACTGATAAATTAGTTAAATGAAAATTGATAAAATAACTGTTGATAATTGCTTACATTTTTTATTAATTTACTAGAAAAGATAAAACTTATTATCGTAAAATATACACGAAACATGTGAGACTTTAAGTGACTTTTTTTTTCCATAAATTTCCATTTTCCAAGGAAATGTTAATGAAATTTAATCTTAATACCACTATAATTTTATCTTGTTACGCTTACACTGAGTCATGCATAAAGTATACAGCAATACCTCGCATAGTGCGGAAACCGGACTAATCGAGGAACTATATACATACAAAACAATAAACCCAAAAAGAGCAAACCTCTATAATAAATATTATTCAAGAAATTAATCAAATCAAATTACTGTTAAAAGATGAAAATTATCTAATTTGTATTCACTTTTTATTATAAAACGTTTTCTCATGATTTATTGTCACTAGATTTATATAACAAAAAAATGAAAACAACTTAATCATCAATTATATATTGTCTAGAGTAATAACCTTTTTTTTTTATCTACAAAGCTATTTAGAGACAATAAATGTATACATATTTTTTACTTCAAGGTTTCCTCATTCGAAAGGCTGTATTTGTCGAACGCATTTACTTTTTAAATTATATGTGGAACAAAGAAAAGCAAATGTTTCGATTTGCAAATGTTTTATTGAAAAAAATAAACAAGAATGTTGATCCAGTTTTGGATGGAATTGGCTACTGTATATTTGAATTGTCATTGTCGGTTTTTATATACACAAATAACTTTTATAGACTGAATACTAAATTTTCAATCGGTTTGTAAAAAGTAAACAAAAATATTGTTTGGTCTAGGAAAATTTCATTCAACTTTCATTAATTGGGACCAACGAGCAAAGTTAGTCCAGGAGCAACAAATAGTGTTGGAATAGAGACCTCAAAAGTTGTTAGCTGTATTCATATTTGGTTTACTTTGGTTTCAATAATCATTGTTGTTTTAACTTTTGATCGATTCTGTAATTCTGCATTTTTGTCGTGTCCCAGGATTCAAATATCTCTGGACACTGTGGAATATCTCGTAGTTATGTCGTTTTGTGTAGTTTTTAAGAAATATTAGAGGTGAAGTTGGAGTTTTTATGATAAAAAACACTTTATTATTCTCTATAAGATTATTAATAACTTAGTTTCTAGATTTGTTACTAGGGTTTTTATGAGTCTAACTTGGACTTGGGAAGACTCTCCAATAAGACTAAAACTAACTTGGACTAGCGACTAGCTATGATTATGACTTTAACACTGACTCTTTAGGACTCTCTTTGTATCACATAAACATCCTGTTATATAGTAGTGAATTAGCATAGTGGGAGTACAATATTTGGTATGGGAAGATATTACCTAATACCAAGAACCAAGAAGTAAAGGCAGATGTACATATTAACAATGGTGATTAACAATATTGATTACATAATGATTAGTTATGGGATCTTCCTAAGTGGTATTTGTTCTAAGTCTTAATGTCTTACATACATAAACATGTATAATACAATAACGGTTATACATAACATATTATTATTTATGTGAATTGAGTCAAGCAAAACATTGAATGTGAACAATTCCTAGTTGTTAGATATGTTTAAGTTCGAAGTCTTAGTAGATAAAATACATAGTCTTCAACAGTTTCTCAGATTAGAGACCATTTTAATCTATTTCAGAAATATTTACTTATATTTCTTGAAAGTTATCTCGCTAATAGAAATACAATTGAAAGCATTATTAAATAATGATTAAGATATCTTTCTAATTGTAAAGCATTTCGGTAGTTTTCTAAGTAATAAGTAACAATAAGACAACAATATCATCATTAATCGATTCCATCTATATTCCGCACTAATCGAGGACTATTTTTTTGTTAATTTATTTTTATTTTGCTTCAAATTTAGTTTCTTTTTAAATTTTCAAACCGTTCTGATCGAAGCCGTACTAGTCGAGGTATTGCTGTACAGACAATATTTTTTGAATAAGTAAACAATTCTATTTTGTTGTAATTATGAATATTTCATAAGTTCTTTGAAAGAATATTATCAAAACGTATTAAGAAAGTAATTAATATCTGTAGGAAGACAATACTGTATTGCTTGAATTTGAAGTTTTTAGAAAGTATGTATTTACTCGGTTATTTCCGTATTGTTAATTAATAAATTATATTTAAATTAAATTACAAAAAATTAGTAAACAATCGAATTGTGTCTTATGCTTGGTTACAGCGAGTGATATTATTTAGAATCAGAGTCTCGTCCTTGAAAACAAAAAAAGTTATGCAGCTCTGTTGCACTCGGAGGATTTATTGAATAAGTATTTCTTTTAAGTTTTTTTTTTTCAATATAAAAATGTAAATGAAAATAATTCTGTTTTACTTTATTTTTGGATATTTCAGTTATTTTCAATGCAATTACAGTTATTTCCATATGGTTATTGACATCATCAAATTAGTATAATTATTTAATAATAAAGTGAATATCCAAAAATCATTGTTAGTTGTGTGTTATTGTGGAATTATTTAGGATCATAGTAGCCGTCCTTGACGTAAAATAATGCAGCTGCGTTGCATTTCTTGACATTTTTGGTAATCTATTACGTCTTATTCAGAATATAATGACTATTGCCTCGGATGTTTAATATAATTAAATAATCATTACTGAAATGATTGATTTCGCTTGCAAACTTCCTATGTAATTGCAGTTATTTCCATATGTTTATGTTTAATGATCAGTGTAATAATGAAATACGAATGTGTAACTGATGAAATTATGCATTGATTGGATGCTTGTATCGGTTTGGAATATTAGATATTATAATTGCTGCGTAAATCGTCAGAAAAAAAAACGTGGGATAATTAGAAAGATGACGCAACCGACGGCAACGCTGCAGTCGGTGGTCGGAACAGCGTTGCACGATCTCGCAACTTTCGCGCGAGAGCTGCGCGTGCGCGACGGCGGGAGGTCGTCTTCCCATTGGCCGAACGTGCGGTCACGTGACTGTACCATGGAGGTTGACCGTGGCAACCTTGGCGTGAACAGACTAACGGCGGGTATAGAGTATAGAGAAACTCATTTGTGAACTCATCGCTAAACAGAACAGTCGGTTTTGTATACGAATAACCACCAAGACTCTCCTACACGATTTTTTTTCTCTTTTTTTTGTATAATTTACATTCATCATTATAATTATTTTTTTTTCTCGAAAACAATTGATAACACCCATCTCTGGCGGAATTTATGTCAAAATCGAATGAATTATATGCGTAAGATGTTGAAACGACAGCTGCTGTCGTTGTTGTTGCTGTGTTGTCCCCCGCAGAACTCGCTCTGAACGAGGAGGAGAGCACCACGAACGTAGTACGAAAACGCCATCATCATCATCACCATCATCACAAAAAAGGAGACATAAATTCCTCTATCATTTGTTAACGATTATTACCGAATTTTTTTTGTTCATTATTTATTTTATTATTGTTTTTTTCAATAATTTATCCCGAAAAGAGAACACGACGCACGTCGTCATCATCAGTTTCGCACGGAAAATCAGGAAAAACAAAGGTTTTATTCTCCTCCAGAGATCGGGGGGAAAATAAAATCGGGACAGCCGAAAAGGGGGAAATTCGTATAAACGCAAAACCGCCACCACCGACAGTGAACGAGTGAATTATTATTTTTTTTATATATTTATATATATCGAGGAGAACTTTTGCACAGAATGTTCATGTTTTTGCAAATTATTTCATAAAAAACAAAAAACGAAAATGCCATTTGAAATGCACTCTCGAGTCTTCAGAGAAATTCAGATGAGCAAGTGATTGAATTTTAGGGGGTCTCTCTCTCTCTCTCTTCTTAGATGACAAAATGGCACTCGTATGTGATATCAAAAGGTTTGCTTTATTTTTACGCCAAAAACATATTTATTTATTTATTTAATTTTTCTTTTTAGTTTAACTTTAATCTCGTATTTATTTTCGTGATTTATTTTTATTTTCTATTTTTTTTTTATGTTCTCGTTGTGCCAGATGGATATGCTCAAAGAAAGAAACACCCAACGGATCGGCGGATTATCAACAAAAAAAATGGATGTGAGCAGACGACGACGATCCTCCTTGAAAAAAACATTTTGCTTACATTATGCGAGCATTGGTTTTTTTCGTGGGGCGTTGGCTGCTGCCGCCACCATTTTATGGGCAAACGTCACTTTTTTTTGTCATACGCTCTCTTGATCTCGTTCATTTCGAGAAAAAAAACTGCCTCCGTTAGGTTTTTTTTTCCAGCATATTCAGTCACGCATTGTGATTATTTACAAAATATCCAAAAAAAAAACAAAGCAAAAAATGCACCAAAACAATCCATTCTCAAAAAAAAAAACATGTAAACAAATACTAATGAATTTCCCATTATCAATGAATGGAATGTTTTGGTTATTTTTGCTTTGTTTTCGTTTATTTTATAATTTTTTTTTTCGTAGCCCATTTGGAGATTTTTGCAATTAACCTAATAATCATGCATCTTTTTTTTTTTACTCTATAGGTTATGGTGCAGATATCGAATTGATTGTTTAATATGTTGTTTTTGTAAAGGTCGACCTATTTTCAGTGGTGTACGGGTTTTTTTTTTGGCAGACGTGCACATGTGTGATCTAATTTTAGATCATCAAGGGGGGGAGGTGCTCTTTCAGACTTGATCGATTTTTCAGGAAAGGCGCCATCTTTAGGTTGAAAGGAGCACCCTTCTTACCCCTTTTATGAAAAAAAAATAAATTATAAAATAATCGCGAGTTTTAAACACTTACAATACTTGCGTACATACTCGATTACTCTGCCAAAAAAATTTCGGTATACCAAACTGAAACACTTAAATTTTTACTAGATCTTTTTTGACGTAACTTTCCTGTTTTATATAACTTCTTCACAAAAGAAGACTAATAAAATTGAAGACCATTGTTTGTTACATGTTATGAATGTCTTTATGTTCTTTTTTTTATAGCGACTCCAAGGATGGAGAGAAAATCGTGGAAGGTGAAGAGAACAATGCTGTCGATAGTTCGGCGAAATCTGTTGACGAAGACGATTTGGAGGATGGGGAAATCGAGGACGACGAGGACGAGGATATGCCTGAGCAGTTGTTTGTTGCGACGCCGGAGGCCTCGAGTTCCTCCACGTCCATCCCGATTTTACCAGATCTGTCGAAGCCACCGCCGTCTCTAGAGTCACCACCGATCGCAGCTGCTGGTATCAAGCAGCTGGACGAGAAGAAAAGAGATGATAAAAAGAGGCACGAGAAGAAGCATTTGACTGAAGCTGAGAAGAGCGTTATGCGGCTCCACAAGATGGAACGGATGGAGCGGGAGAAGCGCGAAAAGTACCGCAGGGAACAAGGTTGCTTATCACCTTCATCCTTATCCAAATTTCATTCTAATAATTCGTTTATTATGTTAACAGTTGTCCATACGCCGCAAATGGAGGTGGAAGAGGATTTTGCTACATCATTGGAAAAGGCACTTGCCAAAGTTCTGAAGAAGGACAAGACTGGGAGCGAGGATGAAAAACGGCCGGAGGAAACGGAAAAGCGTTGCAAGAAGCGTAAGCGGCGCGACAAGCACAACAAAAAGATGAAGAAGTGTAAACAAGATTCGCCTAAAGATATGGACGAGATGGATGATAGCGACATGTATGCTCAAGGATGTAGCCGAAGCCCGGACGATTGTTCAAGAACAACGAATCAGGATAACGAGGAATCGTACGATAGCGAAGCGTCTTCTTCGGACAAGAGTCGCGAAACGAGAGTCGTGAAAATCCCGAACAAACGATTTGATATTCGCAACAAAAATATGAGGGACAAATCACGCGATCATTCAAATATGCAAGCGGATAAAAGAAACAATACGATGTCGAAGACGGGAAAACGAAATACAGGCGTTTGCTTACATTACCTTCAAGGCCACTGCGACGATGTAAATACTTCTTTTTGTTACGATTTTTTCAACCTTAATCTGATTCTATTCTGCTTTGTAGGATAATTGCCCCTACTCTCACGAGACTGTCCAACCGATGAAGCTTGAACTGTGCAAATTTTACTTATTAGAATGCTGCGCCAAAGGCGACAAGTGCCTCTACATGCATTCAGATTTCCCTTGTAAATATTACCACACCGGTATTCCGTGTCCGTTTGAAGAGACTTGTAAATTTGCACACGGCGGACCTCTGTCAGAAGGTAAAAATCGATGAAAAAGAACGAATCAAAAAGAAACAACAACAACAACACATGATTTATGATTTTCAGGATTGAAGCAAATTCTATTCAAACATATCGAAACGGCGCCGAAGGAGATTTTAGGCAATTTCCCGAGACTCAGCCGAGAGAATGCTTCGGTGATGATCATCCAAGCTCAGAAGAATTTGGAGATCAAGTACGGTCCCATCAAAAAGGACAATTCTAATTTGAAAGATGAGAATATTCCGTCCTTGATGGACGTGAACATTGCGAACGTGATGGACGGTGGATCGGCTATGGACAATGTTAGCAGTAATATGCTTTCGAATCCTCCGCCACAGATTGGCGTGGATAATAAGAATCGGAGGAACAGGCCTTCCAGGTGGCAAGATCCGGAACCTGCTGAGAAAGCAGCGCAAGAAAAGCCATTGGCTTTCGGGACTAACTTCAAAGATCAAGATATGAGGATTAGTAGGTACGTGTTCAGAGCTTCGGTTTGTTGTTGTATTAATGTATATTAATGAACGAATGTTTAGTTTTTCTAGTAATGGAGACGTCGATATGAGGACTTTGAATTTGAACGTTGGTCCACCTAAGATACATCCAACGAATATTGTTAATCCAAATATTCTGGCTACGAATCCAGCAACAATAATGAACATCTTGACGCAACAGCAGTTGCAGATGCTGAACCCAAACAATTTGGCTATGAATGTCGATCAACAACAATCACAACTGCAACAAAGTTCTACGACGACGTTGGATATTGAGAAGTATAAGATGGACGCTATGGGAAAGAATACGGATATCAGTGCAAGCGTCGTGGATACGGATATTAGAAATACGATGGACGTCGACGCACGAGCAGCGAAGAAGGAATCTTTTAGCAATGACGACGACGACTGCGACGGTTTGCAAATCGTCATGGACGAGGAGGAGGTGAAGACCGAACCTGTCGATATTCTCCCAAAGTCGGATTTAATAAAAAGGATTCAAGTGCAGAGCAAGGATGAGAAAAATGAAGATGATAAGACTGCAATCGCCGACGATAACGATGAAAACAATCCTGAAATCGATTGGTATTCGGATGATGAGGATGAAAATAAGCTGACCATCAGAGACGACGATTTCGATGAGGTTCAAAGCAAAGATGAGCCGAAAGAAGCAGAACCTGCTCCCGTCAAACCTTTGGATATGATAGGAAAATTGGGAGATTTATCTAAAATCGATATATCCGCGGAGGTCACCAAATTACTGTCCAGTATAAACCAGACGTCGACGAGCACGAAGGAGAAGGACAACGCTAAGGTTAATCGAGATCCGCGTTTGGTGTCTGCAGATCCAAGGAGGAATCGGGTTTCTTCAACTGAAGACGAACAAAAAAAGTCGGTCAGTATTTACAATTCTCCGAAAACGACCGCAGAGACGGATCAAGATTTAAGATCGATATACGGAAGCGATGCTGTTTATAGACCAGGTAATTTATCTTGTTTTTTTTGTTTGTATTGTAAGTTTAACGTTTGTTAATATTTTGCAGGAAGTCGACCAGATGTGGATTTAAGGCAAATGGCTATACCTTTCAAAGGTATAGAGAATTATACGCCAGCCACAGAGATAGATGCGTCAATAAGTTCGCATCCGCCGGTGTCATGGTCTGTGAAGGTGGTGGACATACCGAAACCGGATTACACTGGTCTGAAGCTCTCCTACAGCGATGCTCAGGCGAACGGCGATCCAAGACTTCGGAAGATTTTCCGCTTGAGTACGGAGGAAGTCGATAGTCCTGCGAGTCCTAAAGAGAGTCCGAAAGTGCATGCGCCGTCGACGCCGCGCGTGGATCCTCGAAGACGGAAGATGGAAGCGGAAGCAGCGAGTTCCGCTCCTAGAACGGACATACAAACTCCGATGAATTACAATCAGCAACTGACGATGCTTCAGACCAGTCCGTTTTATCAGACATTGACGAGCAACCAGAAGGTGATGCTTAATCAGGAGATATCGATGAACTGCACCGATAAATCGGGTCAGAACGATCCGGTAATCGCATCGATATTGCTGAATTTAGGGCTGGTAGCGCCCGGATCGCAGAATGCACCGGTGACAGGTGGTGGTGGTGGACAGGCACAGGCCGTCAACATTCTTAACAACGTGAACAACCTGGTCAATTATCAGCAGAACCCACCGATCGTGATGCCGCCTGTGAACCCGAACATGGGTCCAGGTCTCCTCGGCGCCGGTCCACCGGGCATGCAGAACCTGCCCACCGATTACCCCATGAACTTTAATGCTGGTATCCTGGGGAACGGTCCACCGCCGCCCTTCCAGAACAATTACCCACCGCAACAGGAGAACAACCCGAACAATTTCGGTAATTTCACCGATGACTACTATCCAGATCAGCCGCCGCCACAGCAGCAGCAGCAGCAGCAATTCAATCCCAACCAAAACAACAATAACAACAACAACAATCGCGATAACCGAGGGTTCAGGGAAAACAATAATAACAGGGGCGGCCGCAACCGTGGCCGCAACAACAACAGAAATAATAGAAATTTCTTTAGGAGACACAATAGGAACAACCGAAACAATTCCCCTTAGACCTTTAAACAAAACAAAAATCACAACCCCCCCTCCCACACACTAGAAAGTTTCATTTCCGTGCCAAATTTCTATTTTTCGTTATGGATTTTTACATATTTTCTTTTTTTTTTGTTTTCTCATTCCAGTTTGTAAATATTACATTTTATTTAAAAGTTTTCCTTCTTTTCAAAGCAAATTCTGCTTGCGGCTTGTAAATATTATTTTTTTTTTATTTAAGCATACGATTTTTTCGATTATTATTTAATATAAGCGATAGGACTTTTCTCTTGTAATTTATTTAAAAATATATATATATATATAGCGAGAAAACGTGCTAATTTGGATAGGAAACATGTACTGAGAAGAGGGAAATAATAGTAATAAAAAAATATATCGTAATTTCACTACGATATAGAATTTCGGCAACGCACGAAGCAAAGTTTCCTCCGTTTCGATTCGCTTTATTTCATTATAATTTAAAACTATTTCCTGTGTACATATACAAATGAAGTTTGCATCGGATGCCCAATTATGAAATTAAGTTATATTATAGATATATATAGATTTTCTTTCTTTCTTATTTTTTTTTATAGAAGACTATCATTGGAAATTAATATACGTGAATTACATTTTATTCTCATCGACCTTTTGGTTTATTTATCGAACGTCGCCGTATGTCTGTTATTACGATTATTTTACATTATTTTTACAGCTTAAAATCTCTGCAATGCAACAGAAAGAAATCTTTGTGATTCTTTTATAATTTTTTTTTACAGCATTTTCGAATTTTTTTTGCAGGTCAAGGATTTCCAAAAGTGGCGTAATGAAAATGCATTTATGATTTTATAGCTATCTTGGGTTTCTTTAGAAAAAAGATGATGAAATTGTTTTCAGTTTTAGCGAAAATTCTATTACTTTTTTTTTTTGTATGATGATGATGATGATTATAATGATGGGCATGCTGCAATGTACCTACTTTTTATATTTTCCTATTTGGATAACGTAAAAAGTATTATGTAAAAGAAAAAAAGAGGAGACGTTTTATGGTGGATAAGAAGAAAAAGAAAAAATGAAAATTAATTCTGTGATATTTTTTTATTCGTCGTTTGCAATACTCTTTTTTTTTTTTTTGATGAGTATTAATAATCGTATGTTATCTAGTAATTACGAGAGTCTAGTTTGTCTTGTTCTGTCGGTTCACGAAGCGTACTTTGTACTTAAATTTAAGATTACTTAATTAATATATGTGACGGTGCATTTGAGACGCTCATGAAACTGTTTTATTTCTCTCATATTATAGAATGGAGGGATTCTATCCAGAAACATCTTTGTCTTTTGACAGTTTCTCGTTTGACAGCAGACGAAAGTTAAGCAATATCCATAGCTAACTCAGATTGGTTGTGTTATAACGATACGATGATGTACAAATAGAAACGATCTAGTAATCAATCTTAATATTTTTGCTGAAGTCTGAACATTCACAAAATTCAAGTAAATATTCTATATATAAATAGTATTGAATTTTATACATAAATTGCGAGTTTTCATATAAATTTACATTTTTTTATAATGGAATTGCATAAAATTGATTATTTTGTACGTACTAAAAAAAATATTGATAGATTTAAGTTAAATAATTAATCTATAAGTTTTGATAATTTCTAAACTTCGGACTGATTTAAATATAATTAATTACATTTTTTTTTGTCAATAAGATTACATTACATTAGAAATGAATAAATATATTGATAAACTTTTGTATTATATTTATCTATTAATCCAAATTTGTATGTAAAGTATTTCTTTCAAAAAAATTGTGGTTGATGTTTCTGGATTCGTATATCGTTTATAATAAAGAAAATGAATCTGATATTTTACATAACAATATTGTGAATATATTGTGCATTAAAACTGTTTGCAATTGATGAATTTCTCAAAACATGAGATGTCACAATCAGCTGTTCTTGAACTTGAGTTGAAAAGTCGTCAGTCCACTAATAATTCTGCGTAATCACGTGAATAAAAACCAATAAGCATGCGCCTTGTTAAGTCCGTACCGGCTTTATGTTGCAAGTCACTAAAAAATTGCGTCTGGTAAGAATCAGTTTTCTTTCTAAATACGGTTTTATTCATTAAAATTTAATTGTTTATGAACTAATCAATGAATGTATTCTTTTGGAGCTTTAATTTCGTTATGTAATCGTTTTTTTTTTCAATAATTACGGCCCCTTTTTAATGCATTATTTAAATTTTAGTATCGGATTTATGTAACATAGCTGCCTTAATTTTTTATTTTTGATCGTCATTTGTCCTTTTACGTGATACAAATATAACATAATTTTGTTGCTCAATTAATTGAGAGGAATTGAATGAATTGAATGTAAACAAAACTTGAGGTTAAGAATATTATTTATTGAAATATGTACTAATCAGAACAAATACTTCTCTTAGATCATAATTAAGTAATTCGTTTTGTGATTCATGTCTTGATCTATTGTTACTTCATTTTTGTTCATTTAATTTTCAGTCAAAGTGCACTTCATGACGAAAATTGAAATGTAGTCACAATTGTGCGTTCATCGTGTCTATTTGTTTTAATGTGCTGTAATGTTATTTTGTTTGCTCAACCTTTTATATTCAGAATAAAATTCACACTTTTTTCCAGCTATAATTAAATATTTGTTCAAAATTTGTTGATTTAAATACCTCGATTAGTCCGGTTTTGAACCGTCCGGGATATTCACGTACTATGCGATATATTGCTGTATTGATATTGTAGATTGATTCTTCCTTAATTATATAATTTCATAAGCTTTTCAAAAAATAAGTTTCATTTTTTAAATTAATATTCAAGTAGATACAAATCTATAAAAAATATCATTTTTTGTTACGTTGATATTAATCTTTCAATTCGTAAACTAACGAAATTAACGACATTTGATCAATTCAAGTCAATTTCAGTTACGTTTCGAAATAATTTAGAAAACTGTAAAATTGTTGTTTTTAATAAATAATATCAAATTTTGCTGTCACGTTACGTAACATTACAATTATACATTTTTTCCCTTCTTTTTCAGCAATCTAATTTAAGAAATAATAAGCTGAATTCATGACATCAACGACAAATAAAAGGAGTCAAAGGATTGGTCCAGTAATCAACCTTAACTTAAGCACTTTCAAGACGCATAAACTCACGAACTGTTCATACTATAAAACTATTATATCAAGAGAATTTTATGCTGGATTTGCTTATCTCTTTCATGACTAGGTTGGAGTTGGTGAAATAATTAATATCATCATCAGCTTTTTTGATTGGTACATTTTTTAAGACTATTTTTTTTATCATAATTTATCACTTCATGTTTTCAAAATTGAATTCAAATGATTATGGCAAATTTCGCAATGAAAAGAAAGTTGAATGTAAATATTTATTGATCGGTGATTAAAGTTAATATTTTGTAAGTTTATAACGGAAAAACTAAATGTTTAGGTTTAACTGATGTTCAATTTAAACATTAATTTTCTAAGACTATTTTCATCATTATTTATCACCTATAAACCATGCTTGTAAAAGCAATTGAATTAAATCAAATAGAATAAATAAAATATGCGACGTTTCTCAATTTATCTATTAATTCGGCAATTAAAGTTAACGATATGTAAAATTATAATGGGTTAATCAAATTTTCGTATCTAACTGATGTTCAAAGTGTAATTTTTATTTGTCGAGAAACGTCGTCTTAGACAAAATTATAATTTTTTATCTTCATCATAATTTATAACATTTAATCACGTTTTTAAAAAAAAGCAATAAAAATGTTATTGATTATGCCAAATTTGTATAACATAAATCAAGCAAAATCAATAAAATTAATGAGATAATGATTTCAGAGATAAAAAATGTAAAACGTTTTCAATGTTATTTAATCCTTTTTTTTCTAATTCTTTCATTTTGTTAACATTTTGTCTTTAATTTCACCTTTATTTTCTTTGTTTTTTGTTACCAAGTTTTCGAAATTTTCCAGAGAAAATCATCATCTTACATACTTCTCTTCTTTGTTGACATTTTTGAAACCTATGGAGCTACAAGGATAACTTCATTTCAAATTTCTTTGACGTTACATTCTTGAAATTGGCCTTAAATCAGATTTTTTTTAGTTAAATATTGAAATTGCGCACTTCGTTATATCGAAGCTTCAAATATCTCTGGACACTGTGGAATATCTCGTAATTATGTCGTTGCGAAGTCCTAGTGTAGTTTTTAAGGAATGCTAGAGGTGAAGTTGGAGTTTTTTTATGATAATAAATACTTTATTATTCTTGAGTAAATTAATGAAATGTGAAAACATTGCTTTTTCGAACGTTCTAATTTCAATTTTTCAACTTTGAACGCGTATTACAGCAAT